TATGCATCACAGTAAAATTTAACTGCTCTTGAATCAAATTCACCAAAAAAGTTACTTTTAAATAAATCACATTTTCTTCTCTACCCTAAGAGCACATGAAATAACTGTTAAAATAATCAGGTGACCTGGACATCATGCACTACAACAGACCTCCTGTCTGAACGGAAAACCTGCTCCATACACTAAGTAGGAGAGGGGCAAAGAGCTCCTAATGCATAAAATACGTCTAGGTCCCCAGCCCCGAGTTCTGGCCCCAGAGCCCTGCAGGGGCCACAGCTCAAGGTTATCCATTTAAGTCTATTTTAGTTTCTCTTTATTGTCAAGTGCAAAAGAAAATGTCTGATTTCTCCACTCAGATGGAAGCTTTTCTGAGTAGCCCATGGGAATCAAGGTATGCAGTGCTTCCAGCTCATACTTGTTTTACAATTACTGAGATCACCCTGGATTTTGTGTCTGTTTTGTCTACATTTTTAATGGTGTACCTGGAATCTGGGAAGGGCCAGCTCTGGTCTCCCTGCTTGCCTGACATCCTTGTCTGCTGACAAATCTAATAAAAGCCCAAGGAAATCTGAGAAGTCCAGGCCCAGATGAGGAACCACCCAGACGGCCTGTAATCTAGCACTCAGGAGGCTGAGGCAGGAGGATCTAGAGTTTGAGGCCAGCCTGGCCTGCACAGCAAGCAGGCCAGCCTAGACTTAGGAAGACACTGTCTCAAAAAAGTGAGTTTAAGGGCCGGGGATTTAGCTCAGTGGTTTTGCTGCCTGCTGCGAAAGAGCAAAGATCTGAGTTCGATCCCTGATAGCAAAAAAAAAAAAAAAAGTGAGTTCCCCAAACTTCCCAGTGCTGGTGCCTCTTCTTCCCACTGCACGGGGAGGGATCACAGCAGCCGCCGCTGATCACCAAGTGAGGAAACTGGATCCAACAACAGAGAAAGCCAGGTGGGGTACGGGGAGGAGAAAAGCACACAGCACTGGATTCATCTGGACCTGCATCAGCTGGGCTTCAAGTCAGAGCTGACCCTGGTCTTAGGAACACCAAGACCGATGATGCTCTTTGGTGCCACTTACTTGATGGAGGCAAATCCAGAAGGGAGTGGGTCCTAAGAACCAGCCAAGAGCTGAGCTGCCCTGAGTCCTCAGGAAGCGCCTAGCTGACATGGACAGAAGTGGGGGGCAGTGCCACAGGGCAAGGGGGTCCTTGGGGAGCCTCCATTCCCTAGAGAAGTCACCATGAGGTGCAGGAGAAAATACTGGGTTCATCCACCATCACGCTAAGATAAATTATCAACACCCAAGTCCTTTACAAATATTCCTGTGACACTTTTTCAATCTATTGGAGCTGCGATAACAAAATCTTTGATTTCATCACAACAGTTAATTTAAAAGTAAAGCAACACCTAGAACTCTGGGAGGCTGAGTCAGGAGCATCCCAAATTTAAACCCAGCCTAAGCTGCTTAGTGAGATCCTGTCTCAAAAGAAAAAAAAAAAATCTAAAAAGGGCTGGGCACACATGTAGCTCAGTGTGAAGGCCCTGGACTGGATCACCAGTAGCAGGGGGAGGAAAACGAAAAGCAGTGATGTGCTTCACACAAGGCAAAGACTCAAACTGGGGACTGAACCCTGAACCCAGAGCCTTCACATTGAGCTCCATCCCCAGCCCTTTTTTTTGTTGTTTTGCTTTTTGTACAGGGGATCGAACTCAGGACCTTGTGTTTGCAAGGCAGGCGGTGGCACCACTGAGCTAATCCCTGGCCACCCCCAGCCCTTTTTACTTTTTGAGACAGGGTCTTGGTAAGTTACCAAGTTCCCCAGACTGAGCTCAAACATACCATCCTCATGGCTCAGCCTCCAAGAGTGCTGTGATCATAGGCGTGCACCGCCACACCCAGCATTGGATCTGTTTTTTAGCTGGATGGTTTGGAATACACCACAAGCCTGACACACAGCAAACTGGAGAATTCAGAACAGGCGTCCAGCAGACAGGTGGCCTCACTGGGACCGGTGCCCGGTCCCTGCAGTGCCACCTCCCGGTCTCGCCCACCCACATGCGCCGGGTTTCTGCCGCACTGACTCGGTCTGGGACAACTCTGGGCTTCGAAGAGGCGGGCACTGCCTGCCGAGTGGATTCCCAGGACCTCAGTGGGGCTGGCTGTGGGAGGAGAAGGGGGCGGGCAGAGGGGCGGGGCCTAAGAGAAGAGGCCGGGACACCCAGGACCCAGCGCTCTTGAAAACGTTTCTCTCCCCAAAAGGCTGAGATGGTAGAGGAAAGGGGCAGAGAGCAAACGCACGCACGCTTGCTTTCTCTTTTGATCTCATCATCACGGTGACCAGCTCCTCCTGCAGGGCTGAGGGCAGGAGACTGTGCAAACATTAAACAGCATTTTTGCAGGGCTGCCAGGTTCTTCGGGGTGTCAGGAGGAGGGCAGGAGGAGGAGGGAAGGCTGCAGAGTGAGGGGTCTGGTCTCTCATCATTACTTTCTGAACCCCCCCAAACCACAAATCATAACAATCTGGGATTAGGCTTGGCCCAAAACACTCGGAGGCTGACAGCCTTTCCGATGATCCCGATTCAGTCCTGGGCTGTGTGTGTCTGTGTGTGTGTGTCAGCAAAGGGAAAGCGTGACAGTGTCATGTCATAGTCCTAAGGGCTTCGGGGCTAGTTCCTTATGTGCATGTCTTTTATGTTCATCAACTTTTTTTTTCTTTTCTGGAGACAGGGTTTTGCTCTGTAGTTCAGGCTGGCCTTGAACTCGCTGTGTAGCTCAGGCTGGCCTGGACAGTGGGGATCTTCCTTCCTCTGCCTCTGAAGGCTACACACCAGCTTGACATTCATCAATTTCTATCCAAAGAATTTTTTAAAATTAGAAACTAACAACCTACGCATGAGAGAAAGCTGTCAGAAAAGCTGGAAGTGAACACTGAATGTGTTTCCACACACATGACTACATCCTATTAAGCAACCCCACACATGCCAGCCTGGATACCCAGAGACACAGAGGGGTCACTCTCTTTCCCAGGTAGCTGTTTCCTCTTTTTTCCTACAACTACCACAGCTGCACACAGCCTCTGCCATACCGCCACACACTCAAGTTCTCCAGGGGAATCCGGCTCACTACCTGAACTCCAGCCTGGACTGCGGCTCCAGCCTCCTGCTCTGCCTGTGTGTCACAGCCCTGGCCAACGTGGGGTCGCCCCTCCTGTACTCCCACAGCAGGTGGGGGTGCCTTCACTTCACCTCAATCTTCATCGCAGTCTGCTCACCTCCACAATCAGGGACACCAAGAGCTGTCAATTCAAAACACTTCTGAAAACTCCAAAATCCACACAAGTGTGGCACAAATGTCTACAAATGTACCTTCCAGCGTGTCCTCAAGTGTGGACTAAGAGATCACTGTCCCCTCTGGGCTCCTTTACACATCTTCTGTCACATTTTTTGTGGCTCACCACACCTTGCAAACTAGGGGGAGTCCTTTTTTGTTCTACTGTGTTTCTTTGGCAATAGTGTTCTTTTTCAAAAACAACTGAAATGTGGGACCAAAACATGGAAATGTATTAGGCTTTGACCAGATGTGAGAAATGGCCTTAGGGGCCAGCTGTTTTCCATTGACTCACTAAAGAATTCGATTATCCACACTTGGGGAACCTCACCCTGTCCCATTTCGACGAGATGCCCACCTTGGCTGAACACCTAGCCCCTCTGGGAGGAAAGCTTTGGTTGGCTTTTTGGGGGTTTACAATTTCAGGCGGGACATAAACGCAGCCCCTGACTCCCAACTGCACAACTCGATCTGCACAGGGTGACCACTATCTAGGAGAGGTACGCTGTAGGTGTGAGGCGCTTTGTTTTCGAGGATTATACTGAATAATTCACTCCCAAGTTTACAACTTTTGCAGCCTCCTCCACGGTGCCCAAAGTCCTCGGTCCCGCCAGGAGAAGCGGCATGCAGAAAGACAACTGCAGGACGCAGAATGAGAGTCCAAAACGCACGCCTGCCTCCGCTGAATTCGCACTTTTTAAATCCAAGTCTGGCGGCCCCGGGTCCCTGAGGCACCGGCGGCGGCGGGAAGAGGAAGGGGTCCCTGCAGCGGGGAGGGGCGGAGTCCGCGGGCTGGGGACAGACGGGCAGCACGCGCGACATCTTATCCTCTCGATGGAACGCGACTCACGCATAAGTTCTGGGCCAGCGAACCCGGCCGCCCGGATAGGCGCTGGAGGGGACGGCGCGCTCCAGGCCCAAGCTGCTGCGCTAGGGCTCCGGTTCCCGGGCTGCGCAGAGCTCGGTCCCCGCGGCAGGGTCCCCGGGAACCCTACGGACAGGAGACTCCGCGCCCGGGCAGATTCGGGGACCCGGGCTGGGGGCGCCGCGGGGCGAGAGATGAGGCCGGAGAGGGAGGTTCCAGGGCGCAAGGAGGGAAAAGGGAAGCCGGGAGGCCGGGCGGGGAGGGGAGACCCGCGCGGAGAAAAGGCCGGGGCCCTCGCTGCAGAAGGGGAACCCGGGGATAGGGGAACACAGACCTGGGGAGAAAAGAGGCCAGAGAGAAGAAGGCGCGGGGGACAGCGGAGCTTTCCGTGAAGCCCCCAGCGACTTCCCCGTCCGGCCAGGGACGTCGAGCTCCCAACAAAGGCGGATCTCGGGGCCGCGCGCTCACTCGGGTCCGCCCCTCTGCGTCCCGGCCAGGGAGGACAAAGGCCCGGATCCCCCACGTCCGCCAGCCCAGGGTCCCACGTCCCAGCCGACCCTGGCTCCTAGCGCCCGAGTCTCCAAGCACCGCATGCACCCCGCTTCCTCCTGCGCCCCAGACCCCTTAGCACCCCAGATGCACACGCCTAGGACCTCTCTGCACCCCAGCTCCCCAGGCTCCCGGTACCCCTTAGTGCCCCCCTCGCTTCTCCCTGACCCCGTTACCCCAGGCTCCTGCACCCCTTGGTCCCCGTGCGCCCCCCGCGCCCCAGCCTTCCCCACCCCAGGCTCCCGCGCCCCTCGGTCCCGCGCACTCACAGGATGGAGGTCTGTGGCGCCACGGCAGGCACGGCCTCCAGCAGCAGATGCATGCAGCGCACCGTGGTGCGAAAGCACAGGCAGCGGCTCGGGCACCCTGCGCCCGGCTTCGAGGCGACGGCGGCGAGCGCTCCCCAGGCGCAGCACAGCATGAGCGGCAGCAGGCAGCGGAGCGCGGGGTCCGCGGGGCGCGCGGCCATGGCCACGCGGAGGATAGGGCGCGTGGGACGGACCGACAGCCAGGGCCCGGCGCCTCCTCCGCCGGCTCGGACTGCGCGCCCCTCCCGGCCCGCGGCCCAGCTGTGTGCGGGGGCGGGGCGGGGGCGCCAGCTGTGCACATGCGCGCGGCTCCTCCCAGCGCCCTGGCCCGGCGAGGGCGAGGGCGAGGGCGGGGGCGAGGGCGGGGGCGGGGGCGGGGCGAGGACAGGCCGGACTTTCTACAGCTGCGCCCCCTCCTCCCAGCCCGCAGGGGTGAGCGCGGGGTGCAGGGGAGAGAAGTGGGGCACGGCTCGGCTCTCTGATTCTGCTCGCGGGGCCTCAGCTAAGTTACCGGGCCTCTCTTAGCATGGCTGCTCCCTGTGCGCAAAAGGGTTTTCATGTTGTTGGCGATGCTCTTGGAGCACTTCGTGTGTTCCGGCACAGACCCCTAGCGCTCTGGCGCGCTCTCTGCCTCGGTCTCTCCTGTCCGGGCACCCTCTCGAGGAGGGCAGCCTCCAGTTCCGAAGGGACCCCTCTGCGAGGGGGAGCCTGTCTTCCGGGGACCCCGCCCAAGAGGAACGTCCATTCAGAGGGCTCCGTGGCGGGTCTTTGGGGGTGCTCCCTTGCCTGGGGGCCCCACCTCCTACCAACATTGGGTTAACTTTTTTTTTTCTATAGGGCTCAGGCCTCTGGACCTGTGTCTGGCCTTTATTTTGTAGAGCTGAAGGCCTTGTGTAGTGACTGCCTCCGCATAATATAAACACATAAAGGAGGAAGAGAGTTTATACTGCGAAGGTAACAAAGTGGAGTGGCTAGATGATTTATACATTTTGTCATTTTTATTTTATAGGGACACTTGTATAAGAAGCTAAATCTACCTGTAGGATACTTCACAGTTGACTAAAATAACATAATGGGAATATGCTGAGAGGCGGAGGGGCACATTTTTTGGAAGACTCGTGAGAGGGCGACCACAACTGCGTAGGCCTGAAGGCCAGATTGTTATAGGTGCTGCTGGGGACGGGTGCGGTGTGGAGCCCATTTCTATTTCTAGCCTAGCTTTTTGTTTAATGTTACTATTATTACTGTTTCCCAGTTTCTTCCCCTCTCTATCTCTATACACACACAAACATGCACACATACACACATATTTGGTTATATTTTCCTTCTAGGGATTTAATACCAAGTCAAAGAAAGACTCATGTTAATAAAGAAAAAAATATATATCCATACCTGCAAGCCCTGTACACTGGGAGGCTGAGGCAGGAGGATCACCATGAGTTCGAAGCCAGCTTGGGTTACACAGTGAGTTCAAGGCCAGCCTGAACTGCATAGAGAGACTCTTTGTCTCCAAAAGAAAAAAAATAATAGTTCTTAATTACAGGTTACTGATAAACTAACATCTTCACTCAGTTTAGCAGCTTATAAATTCAAGAAAATAGCAGGATGGAACTGCCACAGTGATAGGCACAAGGCAGACACACGAGAGCCTCTGGGAGTACATTCTACAGACATGCAAGTAACTTTACTTTTACAACAGGTGGCCAGTTCAATTTGTTGCACATTAATTGCCACCCATCCCCACTGCTTCCTTCCTAAAAGAATTCTGAACTTACCAATGGAGGTGACACACCCTCCCTAGGGAATGCCAGCCCCATCCTCTCCCAGGTTCCCCCATGCTCCCCTGTGAGCCAGTACGTTCTGATGAGCTGTGAAAAGAAATCATTAGAGACTTTTGAGAAAGATTCCCAAACAAAAGTCAGGGAAATGTCTAGTGCAAGGAGCCATAGGGTACTCCCCAAAGAAACAGCCAGGAGGACACAAAGCAAATATCACAAGGGTCTCTGGGGGAAAGACAGAAACTGGTCCTTGATAACATCTTTGAGCTCTTGAGTAGGCCCTGGAGTGTTTAGCATCTTAAGTGGAATTTAAAAATTGTTCAGTGGCTTCTGAGATATTTTCAGCAGCTTCTTCAAAGTTGCTGAGTTACTTGCTTTACTTAGCCAAGATTTTTTGCTTTTTTTGTTATGTTTAAGGTTTTGTCTATTCTGGTCAAGATTAACTATAAGCAGGATTAAAAACAGCTATTCTGGAATTTACATATCCTTTCTTTAACTGGTGGAAGATCCAGAAGAAACGGATTGGGAGCTTTTTCAAAGGTTCACTTGGTAAGATTTTGGGGGCACCCACCAAGTGGGGAAGACCAAGGAATAAAAGGGATTGTAGTAGCAGGATTGTCAGGATAACAATCAGCTCTAAAATGACTTGATAACATTCATTTACAGCAAGTTCAGTTGGGTACAACTATAGCCTAGTTCTAAACTAGGGAACTGCTGCTGTCCACAAGCAGGGTTATGTGAATTGTCTGACAGCACCTGGACCTAGAAGGACAACCCAGGGACCAATGTGACACCAAGAAGCCAAAGTGACAGAGACAGGGCCAGGGATTTAGCTCAGTGGTTTCACCGCCTGCTGCAGAAGCACAAGGACCTGAGTTCGATCTCCAGTACTAAAAAAAAACACAGCAAAGTGACAGAGACACCTAAGTAACCAGTCCTGTTGCAGGTTCAGTTTAGCAATTGCTTGGTCCAACAAACTTTACTTGAAGAGGGTGAAGTTTGCCTCCCACCCAGGAGCAATTCTTTAAGATGTTGTTGTTTGTTTTTTTCTTAATCCCAACTCAGTCTCTGCACTCAGGGTCCGATCCAGTTCCAGATTAGCATGAGTCACAGACTGGCAGCACAGGTTATAGAATCCCCCCTTCAAATCTCAGCTTCTCAAGAAAAGATATGGCTCTAGCCTAGTTGTTTTTTTCTTAGGCAGTAGTAGGTACTGGTGGTGCTTCTGCAATAAAAGATAGCGGGGGAAAAAAGGAGAGAAAAAACAAGGACCGGATGGTAGGATTTCGGTCCCCAACATTAGACTATGGAAGCAGCCCCACCCTATTTTCCTGGGTTTGGCCAAAGCCTGCCCCACTATTCCTCCTGCTATGCTGCCTGTGCAGCCCGTTCTGCCCTGAAGTCAGGCCACACACTCTGAGGTCAGGCCGTGAAAGCAGCTCACCCCATTTTCTATTGTGACTACTCCTGGCATTCCTGCCAGTCATGCAGAAATTATTCCTGGGATTTAGCTACATTGGCCAGTCCCACTGTCATCTCGCCCAGGACAAGTGCTACTCAAACCTTCAACAGATCAGAAAGGCAGGAAAAACAAGTCATACACACAGCTGGGCTTTACTCATAAAGTCAACCCAAAGGTCTGTATATCTAGGGACTTGTAACATCTGTAAAGAATTCATTAAAGGGCTGGGGATTTAGCTCAGTGGTGCTGCCACCTGCATTGCAAGCACAAGGTCTCAAGTTTGATCCCCAGTACCAAAAAAAAAAAAAAAAAAACATTAAAAAGCCTGGAGATGCCATCTAGCAACTATAAATCACGTACCATTTTAGGCAGGAAAATGATCTTGAGGCTAACGGTGTCATAATATCAGAACCAAATGAGGTAGAGAGAGGAAGCATGCTAGCATTAGAGAAGAGGCCCTATGAGGTACCCCCTGCAGGGCTAGGGCTGGACAGTGGCTCTAGAACAGGAAGGGCACGGCAGATGCCCTCCAGACTGCTGCAGAGGGCTGAGATGGAGCCCTCCCCATGGGGGGCCTGCATGCAAACCCAGTGGACTACAATGTTTGTCCCCTTGTCTTTTTTCTTTTTTACATAAATCTTTGATCCTGCTGCTCCTCTGAGGGGGTGGGTGGTCCTGCTGCATTGTTCATTTAAGGTATTAAGATACCGGACAAGCCTGATTCAGTAATAAAACCATGGAGTGGTCATCTATCCCTCCCTCTCAGTGCATCAGCAGAAAGCAAAGAGACACCCTCGACCCTTCTCCCATCCATTGTGGTGCCACGGGCCAGAGCAGAAGGGACCCTCTCTTGCAGCGTCTCAGGACTGGGTTTCCTATGCTGGTTGCATGAGAAACTACTGAAGACACTGCTGTGCCTCTCCTTGTATGTCTCCTTGGTGAGCACATTTTAGGTCTGTCTGACCCAGGAACGGAGTATGCTGATTGGGGTCCTGCTCACTGCAGACACCTCTTTCCATTTCTGGTTAAAGGGAGCCCGTGGCTCTTGTCTTTAGTGCTTTTATGTCTGAGCACTAACTTTTCTGGGAACTGGGAGCCTCCGATGAAAAGGAAAAAGAAAACAATAACAAAAACAGGAAACAAACCAAAACAAAAACCCTCTAAGGTTGCAGAGGTTTGGGGAGAGAGATAGAGAGGGCGGGGGTGGGGTGGGTGGGGGGAGGAAGGGAGAAAAAAAGAAATAAGCTATGTTTCAGAGGGCAAAGGGTAAAGGGTTGGGGGAAGTAGGAAGAAAACGCAAAGCCTTCGGCTGGACTTACCGAAGTTTGCTCACTGGGCATGGAGAAGGAATTGGCAGGACTCATCAGTAAGAGGCGTAGAGGGGTTTTATTAGGCAGAATTTTTTTTTTTGGTATGAGGGATTGCACTCAGGACCTTGCACTTGCCAGGCAAGTGCAGTGCCACTGAGCTATATCCCTGGCCCTAGGCAGAAATTTAAAAGAAGGTACTCAAAGAAATGGGGGGGGGGCGGTGTCAGGGGAAAGGGGGAAAGAGAGATAGACAGAGAGAGAGAGAGATAGAGAGACGAGAGGAAGACACATTATTTCCTGAAACTGGGAACATTTATGCTTCTTTTCAGGGGGTAGAAACCCCAGGAAAAGGTGGCTCACGCCCCCAGAAGGGAACGGACTCCATTTTACAAGTATGAGCCAGGTGTTTTGTTTTGTTTTGTTGAGACAGAGTCTCGCTATGTAATCCAGGCTGGCCTTGAACTCACTAGATATCTCAGGCTGGCCTCAAATTTGCAGTGATCCTTCTGCCTCAGCTTCCCAAGTGTTGTGATTATAGATTTGCACCACCACAACTAGCTCCCCTCCTTTTTTTTTTTTTTTAAAAAAAGGATAATTTAAGCATTCTTTGAATTCTCTCAGCCTGTTCCTTTATTTTAGGATCAGGTTCCTGCTCTTTACTTCCTCAAGGCAATTTATAGGGTTAAATATTCCTG